GTCAAGATTAAGCAAAACAATTTCTTGCATTAGGAGAGATGGGGTTTTTCTAGAGAAGATGTTTTCTAGTCCTAAAATATTAAAGTTACTGGTTAAAGAATAGATCAACCACTACAAGTCATTGGATCCATGAAAAAATTATCTGAGATAATTTTATGATTTCCTGTTTAATCTTGTATATACTATTATAGTTATATGGAGAAAATTTTGAAGTGTGCATGTGTGTTTGAGATGTGTGTATATGTTTGTGTGTTTGGTGGTTTGGAGAGGAAAAAAAAGGAGAGCCAGTAAAAAGAAATCCATACCAAATCTCCATGAATCATTTTTCAAAGACATGATTTTGCTCTTGCCAAATGTTAGAAGTTTTTTTGGAAAGTTTGATTGATATTCTGTATTATATTACCCAGTACAGTTCAACTATTCATGAGTTTATTGAAAATCTTTTTGACAAGTTTTTTAAAAGCATATTTTCGACTTGCTCTCTTCACATCCTTACCATCCTTTTATCTCTCAATCTTCTTTCATTTGTTTTGTGTCTGTGTAATTCTACTAAAATTGCCTATTTTCAATCTCTAAAGATCCTCTAGTAATCAAATATATTATTTCAGGAATATCACAACAAAAAGCAAAAAAGATCTCCCTTTAATTCTTTCTTATTATCAGTTTCTCTCTCTCTTGCCCCCTCGCCCCGTTTTTTGTTTTAACAGTTGCATACTTTCCATACTGGATACACTGTCCTCAATCTTATTTGATTCTGTTTGCTGACTGTTACAAATGTAACATAACACTCCTAACAACAAACTAGTAGTCAACTTTTCCCCAATTCAAAGTCCAACAGGGAATTCTTTGCTTCTATGAAGATAGTGCCAAGATTTTCATAAGTTTGGCATATTGGTACTTGCTGGATACAATGTCTGCCTTTATTTTCAACCTACTACTTCCTCATATACACATCCTAATCAAGTTCACGCAGCAAACTCAGTGGTTTAGGAAACTCAATTTTTGCAAATAGGGCTTTCCTGCCTGGAATATCCTTCCCTATAACTTTGTTAGCTTAGAGTATGCTTACCAACACTTATGAACATCATGCAAGTGTGAAACTTACCTAGGGTTCTTTTTCAAGTTGCTTCTCCAAGGATATATATACACTCTGCTCAGGTGCAGCAGATTTTTATTGTTTAATAGATTTAATGTTTTTCCTTGCTATTTTGTAGCAAAGATTTTGCTTTACTTACTTTTATCCTCAAATACTGTATCTGTCTTAAATGACTCTTAGTTGCACATTGTATTATTTTTTCACAGTTTTGCAAAGGGATATGTAAATATGCTTTGAATTTTTGTATGCTACCTTATTCAATGAAGAACAGTTTTTATTAATTAATTTATACCCTTCTTTAGATTATTTACTTATTCTTTTTGGATAACCCTCAAGGTCATTTTAGGGTTAAGCATTTCAGAAGTTCATAAAAATAAAGACAGTAATAGGATTTCTATTACAATTACCTTTTCCAAATCTTAAGGCTTTTCTAAAATTGACTAGGAACAATTTTAAATAAGTAGAATATGCAAAATGCCTTATGTTTCTTTCTATAACTTCTTACTTTCTCTCCAATTGTAGCCACCATTCAGACTTTGATGATAACTTCTAAGTACTGCCCTTTCCTGTATGTTTGTCACATGTATTCCCTTGTTCTCCTAAAGTATCTATTAGCAGACACCTGGGGTTTTGCCTCTGACAAAATTTATACAGAAAATACTCTTACTTTTGCATATTATATCATTGGTTTTTCTAAAGCCACATATTTAGTTGATAAGTGAATATTTGGAGGTAACTCAGGGTGGATGTTTAGTGAAGAGCTGTTTACTGCTCAGAATGCAATTTTGGTTTTCCCTGGATCAGTCCTTTCTTCAACTACATTTTTCTTTTTTCAACTTTGTTACTTCAATTGGGATCCTATGACCTAGACTTTCAACTTGCCTTTGTTAATGGAAAATTTGGGGCTCTGCCTTCACAAATGACAAGTGTCTTTTCCTTATGAGGAGTGACAGTTATGCATGTCCATTTTTAATGTTGATAAATATTTCAAGAAAAGAAAGATGTTGCACAAGAACTGTAATAAATGATTTGTTTATTCAAATACATAACACCTAATACATGACAGACCATATGTTAAGTTCTTGTAATATATGAACAGAAATGACATAGCCTCTCTCCTTTAAGTAGATTTGAGTTCTGGCTGGAAAGATAGACCAAACCCACGCACACCAAAGAAGTAAAAATAAATTTATTTATAAAAATAATGGCAAATTCTAAAAAACCTTGCAGAACAAACTGTCAGAGATGAAATGAGATAAGGGTACTTATACTAAATAAGAGAAATAGTAAACCTCTGCTCTGGAGAGAGAACATTTAAATTAAGATTTAAAGGTAGACAAACAATTAAACAAGAGTGGCAGAAGAAAGATAACAGACCGTGTGTGTCAAGCTGAGTCAGGACTGCGCTTGGCGCAGCCACTGAACATTATTAGAACTTAAGGAGGTGACTCATGATTTCTAAAATGCACAGACTAAACTTGCCCTCAGTTACAGGTTCCTTTCTTTACTCTGTATGTGGACATATGTGTCCAATGAATCAGAATATTTTATCATACATTCATAGCACACTTCTACCCTCTTCCAAATTCACATGAGGAAATAAATAGAACATAAGCAAAAGATACTATAGACTATCTTTGATAAATCAATGTCTCAATAACTACAAATATCCTATATTCATGTAATCTCTTTTCTCCCTTCCTCTTCCTACTGTCCCCTTCTCTTCTCCTACCTCATGGAAAGCCAAATCAAAATTAAAGATTGCTTTTTGAAATAAAACCCTAGAAATTTGTCTTAGAGCTATCAAACATTTGTCATTGTCATAGTAAAATATTTCCCAAATCTGTGTAGGTGGATAACAGATCTGTGGATCCACCCAGACTAAAACCCTCAAAATCTTAACACCAAGGGTCCCTTTCCCAGGCTCAGATAGGGATTTGATATTTGTGGACCTTGGTGACCTTGTTGGTTCTGCCTTTTTCTTAGCTTCCATGGCAGGAGACTCTCCCTTCCAATGCTTGTATTCTGTAGCTATGGGTATTTATGAAGTCAGTAAACCAGGCCATCACCTCTTATCCTTAAGTAATTATGTATATCTACATTTAGCATCTTTAGATGTTAATCTTGTTACCATGATAAGTAATTACATGTATCTACATTTAACATCTTTAGATGCTAATCTTGCCACCATGATCTTTGAGGCTAATCTTGTTTTTCCCTTTGCAGTTCTTAGCAAATACTTCCTTGTGGTCATTAGATGCCCTTTATGGTGCACTTGCTATTTAGCATATAGTAGACATTACTCATATTCTTAGCATCATCAATTTTTGTCATTTTTCTTAACTTTGCAACTAAAACTAAGGAGAATAATTTCACTTTCTTATTTTTAGAGTGAGAACTATCTTAACATTTTAAGTTATCTTCTCTGGAATATTTTAAATCAATATCTACAATGACTAAAATTGTTTATTAAATAAATGTGATAGCATGATTGATTTGGTATGAATAAGAGTGGAAAATGGGTCTCATTTTTATGATTATTTTTTTCTAGTAGCATATAAAATTCAGGGCCAGAATCAGTAACTTCAAAAGTAAAAATATAGGGCCTTTCTTCAAAAAATAATGAATTTGAAGAGCACAAAACTAGAACATTGAACTGAGCATTGGGGTCTTCTGAGCATGGGTCCTATGGGATTGAAGAAGTTGCATGTTCAGGAGGCCCTCCCACTGTAAGTGTTTGGAGTATGTGGCATCTAAGAATAAATAGATAAACAAATATTTTTTTACAAAGTAGCTTTATAATACAATTTTATAATTATAATTTTATAATACAGTTTTAAGCATGAAATAGCATATAAAATAAAGTTAAAGAGGTATATTTATTTGACTCACTACAACAGTACATTTGGCACAGGGTATTCCGGTGAATAGAATATGTAGTTAAAAGGAAGCTACTTTAAGTTTCAAGTTGATCATTGACTGATATGCTTTGGTTTAGCCCAAAGACTGGCAGCCAAATTACTCAGGTTGGGAAACCTGGCTTGGTCTGCTCTAGTGGTGGTGCGTGTCATTGGATACACTGGCTTACTTTCCTATGTATAGATGGGTAGGGATGATGTATGGTCTATCATGTAGATTTTTCAGGCAAATTACTATATTTAAAGTCATTTAAACAGTATCTGCTGTGCAGTAAGCAAACATTTTGAAAGTTATGTTTACATTGCAGCTTTTGCCTAAGTATTTTCAATGTCCTAGACATAGTTCATTCTCTTTGATATTTGTAAATTCAAGTGTAATATGAAAAATATTTCCTAACATTGTTTGTGTGGTATTATAAATTTGATAGCAGGTGAAGCATTCATCTCATCATAATGGAAATAAATTATGTATATGTATATTCATATATTTATGTGCAAGATTATTTCCTTTTATTATTATGTTACTGAATAATAAAGGATTATACATTAATATGGAATATACTATAATGATTAAAAATTTGTTTCATGATTTATGGAAAAGATATATTGTTTTACAAACTATAAATCCTGTCATCTATGTCATCATGAAAGGCCATCTAAAATGTTCAAACATTATATTTAGAACTGTATCAAACAATATATTATCAGTAATTTTGATAAATGTTATTTGACTATTTTACTTCAGGTGGTTCATACTGAACAATATATTATTAAAAATAAAGTTGTAATCAGGTATAATTTCCAAATAAAAATGTGAGAATACTTTTAGGTATACCTTTTTCTTGGTTGTAAAAGTTGTACTAAAGTAAAAAGCAGTGCTCTTAAATTTATCACCCAGGTTCCTAACCATATGATGTACTCAATTCCTTCTTTCTCTTGGCTCTCACTACATAAAATTTATATATGATCTCTTCTTCTCATATTAGACACCATTACTGAAGTCTTCACTAACATCTACGTGACCAGTTTTGGCCCTGTCTCAGATACAGATATGGTGAGTTGTTTATTATAGAATTTTTTCTACATATAATAGAAAATGGTGGGTAATTTAGAAGGAAAGGTGTTTTTATTGTTATAGAACTATGTATCTATCTCACGTCTTATATACTCCATGCAAACACATAGAGAATAAAGGGTACTGATCTGTGTTTTGCAGCATAATACCAGTTTGAGCTTCAGATTAGCTCTTTATTTTCCATATTCTTGTCTACCTAGCAACAGTGTGGTAAAGAATTAAAATTTCAATAACAATGATCATATTACTGAGAACAATTTTCTAGTATTAAACCACCTGCTTGGACTTCCAGAAGTTTATATGGTTTCATGCACAAGTACTTCATACAGAATGTGGTCCCAGGTGCTGTTATGCACAAGGGAGTTCTGATTGGCACTAAGCAAGGTGAGGGTCTTGTGGTGCAATCTGTCTGTGTCTATAGGAGGCATCAAGAAAGCAGTCAAAGGAAAACTAGAATACAGATGTTCTTGGATCTATACAATTTGTGTTTTGACTATTTTTCTTTAAAGTGAGACGAGTAGTAGAGAACACTTTATTTGGAGTGTTAGAAACTGGTAATCTAAGATCACCAAAGAAAAATTCTTCATTATTTATGGAAATTTTAACAATCAGTCCTCTATTTCTCCTGTTACTTACAGTGCTCGGAATAGAAATTTCTGTTGAAATAATCTTTTGTTCACGAGTACCGTGCCACTTTGTCAAATCCTCCACATGACACTTTCCTGTCTTGTCTTCCCCTTATACACATGTCTCTTGTCCCTTGCTACCTTTACCTCCCTGGCCAGTTTGTGGCTCATAAGCTCATTCATCCCTCTCTCCTTCTCCACTCCAGGGCTCAATGTCTGTTTAGAAATCTTCCTTAGGGTTCAGCCCAATTGTTCTCCAACATATCCTCTCTCCCAAGTTTCTTACCTTTCTCTGGTAACCCATGGGGCAAGCTGACAAGTTTGGATATTTTCCTCCTTTATAAACAAACCAAACAAACATTTTTCCTTTGTTACAAGCACTCATAAATATTATTAGTTGACTTTTCATGACCTCCCTTTCCTTTAGGAAGCTGAAATGCTATTTTTTAGTAATAAAAATTTGATTTTTCTTCTATCGGAACCACTCTGATCTCACAGTTACTTTATTATATTGACCTGTGTGGATGAAAATTTGAAGCAGTTTGAGGTTAAGAAGTTATCTTTGAGCTATGTGTGAAAACCATAGGCAGATTTTTACAGACCCTGTAATGAGTGGGAAACAACCAAGTTGCAGAAGAATTGTGCAGTATGACTTCTATGTACACTCTGTACCTATTGGAAAACAAAATAAAACAACGACAACGAAAATTCAGTAGTGAGATCCAGAAATAGGATGGAGGAAGAGTAGTGGATGGAACGAGGATAATGTACTTCCACACTACCTGGCATTTTAATAAAAATAATCTGAAGCCAATATGGCAGAATTATGTTTGTTGAACCTCAATGATAAAGGCCAATCATATTATTCTCTGTGCTTTTCTGTATGTTCAAAATATTTCCTAATAAAGATTGTATTTAAAAAGAAGTTATCCTCATCTTTAGAGATGTAGTTAATACAAAATGCTGTCAGGTCTTTATAGCTTCTTTTCAAATTTAGAATGTGAAGGTTTAAAGCCCCTCTGTACCCAACCCTGGATGTAAGGCAGAATTCTGGAACAAAGGAAGAAAAGAACCCTGTTTAACAAAACCCTTCTTTCTCATTTGCTTTAGCTTACATTTTGGTCTAACTTTTTGTTTTTCTTTTCTTGGGGGAGGGGTCTCTTACAAACTTGGCCAGTATTCTACCATTGAGTTATACTACCAGTCCCTCGTCTAAAATACTAATCTTCTTTTTCCATAGATCAATTTAAGTCTACAGGACTTTGAAATGATGACAAAGACATATTTAGCAATTTTATGTAGCCCAAATGCTATTTGTAGGCTGTAAAAATAATCTTTTCTTAGTAAATTATCTTTGTCTTTGTCTTTTGTCTTAGTAAATGCTCCCAAACAATAGAAACGTAGAGTGATCATAAATCCCAAACTTCTGGGTAGAATCATGTGGACAGTCAGAATTTTATCAAGCACTACAATGAAAAATTAACAGAATATTATATAAATGATGGTGCATATATGATTACTTTTGGTATCACGTTACCAGTGAAACCGGAATGGCAAATCATACATGTTCCCAAAATATCAATAAGTTTATAATAGTGAAGGTTTTTTTAATGTGTGTTTATGTTGTGGATATTAGTAGTAATAATTACTGCATGGGAATTTTTTATTTTTTAACACAGTGAGTAATTTTACCTAAAAAATATAAAAACTTTAAAAGACGTGTTTAGTATGTGAGGATTATAGAAAAAGTCAAGTCCTACATTTTTTGGCAAAATGTATTAAGACTTCTTGTTCCAATAAGAATAATATATTTGACTAATCATCTCCTTGTCTTTGCTGTGACCAATCTTTGGAAACAGGGTGGATTTGAAGAGGCAATACACTGATCATTGGTATACATATGATATAGAGAAGATTTCAAATGAGGTCCAGGAAATAACTTCATCAGTTAAATGTTCTGTTTGATATTTTCCAAGACTAGAGAAGAAAATGGAACTGGTGAATATTAGTGCTGCATAACCTATATACACATATACACATATAACAGACAGAAACACATAATTACATTGAAAGTTTACCAGGAAAAAGGAAGCTCAATTAAAAAAAAAAAACATGTCATGAGTAGAAATGATTTGGTCTTCATAACGACCAAAATGTGTACTTTTAATCTTGGTATTACTTTTGCTCATGGAAAATAAGATAAATAATGAGGAAAAATTTTTTTTTCCTGTTTAGTACATACTGTTGTTTATGACACTCTAAATACAGATACAATGAGAATGAGAAGGAAAAGCACATCCATATTATTACCTACAAGTAAAAGAAGCTATGGAGACACCTAATTCATGTATTAAAGAAACTATTTTTTACAGAAAAAAGTAAATAATACATTTAATTATGCTTTCAATAGCATAGTTGATACACTATCTTTTTTTTGCAGTGTTCATGCTCAATATTAAATTCTAAACTCCTAACTTCTCTTATTCAGGTCAGTGGTATGAATTTGCTGTGACATTAACCTGAGTGAAAAAAGCAGAATAGCAAAAAGAATTAAAAACCAAAAGAACAAACACATACCCACACACATGCATACACACGCACACACACACAAACAGACATAACCCCTTCTCCCAAACACACCGGCATACACAGCCATCTCAAAATCATTAACCAGTGTAATTGTCCAAAGAAAGTTACAGATCTAAATTATAATTAAAGATTCTAATTACAATGTCTGCAATTAAGTTACAAAAGTTTTTATTTCAACATTTTAAAAATTCATGAGTAAGACGGTAATTAAACTTTGGAATGCAGTAGTAGCTGACAATCAACAAAGTTTGTAGTAGGCCTGTGAATTATAGCAATTTTGAACTCATGCCTCTGCTTTTTTTTTCTTCTACACCTATGTTTCTGTATCTGTAGAAATTTTCACCGTGCATCCATAATCTTCAGACATAAGTGGTACAACTACCAAATGATTGCACTTGAGCCCAGATGGTTGTTTTTGATCACTGTTAGGGTTTAAACTTGAACAATGGAATCTTTTTGAGGTAATACTAAGATTGCAGCATTTTAGCTTGGTCTATTTAGAAGCAGGCAGTCAGATAAAAGTGACCTTGGTCTGTTGATTGTATTGATCTCCTTTGTTAATATTTTTCTTCCTCTTTGACAACATGGAGAGTGTTATCTCTTAGAATCCTCAGAAACCACTGGGTATTGCTAGTTCAGTAGTTAACCTCATCATGAGGGTTAGGGAGTTTTTAGATCTCAATATCTGGTTGGAAATTTACACTGGACTTATATGTTCTCCTTTATCAGGGATTGTCATTTGCAAATGTGGTTAACTAAGGATCATACTACAAAACTGTCAAGCACTGCATGTCAGAAGTAAAGTAATAATATTTACTCACTTTAGAGCTAGCCTGTAGGAGTTAGCTACTGAGTGATTATTGATATTTTGGACAGTTAAGAGTTAGACTCAGATAACATTCATTCATTCAGTAAATATTTTCCAGTCACTGTCTAGGATCTGTAAATTGTTCCTCAAAATGTGGTGCATACACATCTGCATTGGGATCACTAGGTTATGAATTAAACTAGTTGAGCCCCTTCTAAGATCTATGGACTCACGTTTGGTAATTGAGGGCACAATAGTCTGCATTTTAGTACCTTAACTGTTTGGCTTCATTCTAAATATGACAAAAAATTATTATAAGATTGTTGAAGATTAGGGGTAGGTACAGAGCATATGTAAGTTAGATTTTCTGCAGTCCAGTAATGTATAGTAGAGGATAAGATAACAAAAAGGGTTTACAAGAAAACTTGTATTCCAGCTGAGAGATGATTGTGGACTGTGCTAGAATAGAGTTGCTGAAGACTGAAAGATAAGAAAAGATTTAAAATATTTCCATGTGGAAGAATTGCCCATACTTGGTGGTCTGTTCACTGTTGAAGAAGAAATATAAAAGGAAGCTCTGGAGGATTGGGTCAAAAGTGGTACCATTCATGGGCATATTGAACACAGGAGTGGAAGTTTGTCTTCATTTTGCTTCTTGGCTGATGAATATTTGTGGTTTTAGACATATTCAGCTAAGGTGTATTTAATTGAAGACATCAAAGTAGAAGGCATAGATTTGTAGCTCAGAAGAGAGGAACAGAGTGAACATGGTAGGAAGGAACTGATGCTAGTTGAAACCACAGGCATATGTAAAATTGTACGAGGCAAGTGATTGGAGTGAAAGTCTATACTTTTGTAGAAACTCTAGAACATCAGTATTTAAACAACAGCAAGAGAATTAAAAATACCTTAGTGGAGTGATGAGGAGCAATCATGGATATTTGTCAAAATGAATA